TGCAGGAAAATGGCCTTTTTGGCAATGCTAGCAAAAAGTTGGCTCCCTGGCTTTCCACTTCAGCAATCATTAAAAAAATTTAAAATTTGAAATTGTAACATAACTGTTAAAATATTTGGCACAGTCTGTAGCTATAAGAAATGCTGGGATGAGGTTTGGCATTTATGTGTCACCTTGCATCTTAAAGGAACCCAAAGCAATCTGTAAATATACTTGAATCTTTTCACCCATTCCGACTTCTCTAGGACAGAACACATCAGCTATTTGCTAGCATATGGCCAAACAATACATACAGTCGCAGCCAGGAAGTGAAGCAAGGTTTTCTGTGTTGAGGACAGGGTTATGCCTTGCAGGCTAGGGTAACTGTGAAATATGTTGATAAAGCAGACCAGAGGCAAGTTAAACTAATGGGGTTTTATTGCTTCTGTACAGGGCTGACTGCTAAGAAAGTCATGAAGAATGTTATAGCTTATGGTGCTGTTGATATCGCCTCCCTCCATGTAATTTTTTTGTATAATTCAGTATTTTGAAACACCGGCATGATGTATTATCTCAGTAATATGGAAAGACTGGAAAATTAAGGAAAAATGGATCTTATTATAGTATGGTACAGGGCTGTCCAACCTCTAAATGGCTGGGGGCAGAACCAAGGTGAGCCAGGGACCCCCAATGCGATATGCTACACTGACAACCCCACTGCATTGTGTACGCCCTCCCTGACTGCTTCTCTGAATGCATGCAGGGGCCCTTCCCTCATCACTCCTGTACTGCAGACCCACACCCACCCTCAAAATGCTTCACTGTGTACCTTCATGGCCCCAGGCTTACCTTCAGTTCCTCCAGCTGTGCTGCACTGTACAGGCCAGGGCAAGCAGAAAAAGTCAGAGGATGGAGGGGGAGCCTGGAGACTCTAGCCACTCTTGCAGCCAGAATTATGTGGGGAGCAGCAGCTGGCTAGGTGCCCAGGGCCAGAACTTAACCCCTCACGGGCCACCAGTTGGACAGCCATGGTATGTCAAGGGAAGCTGTATGTATGCAAAGAGGATCTGCAAAAAGCAGGTATTATCCTCTTTCAAATGCAGTTTAAATTCTTATTGTCATTGTGACTATCAGGGCACTCCTTTAAAAAGTCTCTGCTTATTCTTTGTTAGGTACTTAATTCTTCACCTTTTCTGCACTGATTTCAAGGAAAAAGTGGAGGGAACAGTTTTTCCATATTCTAACAATAAGGTAATTCTGATGAAAGAGAACCCTAGAAAACTCTTGAGATTCTGGCTGAAGTGGTGTAACATACTCATAGCCCATGGGAGTGGCCCCTTAAAATGGACAGTTTTTTCAACAGTCTGCTTGACATTACATGTAGAGCTTATTCTTTTACAGAGAAGGAGTGTAGCAAATTAAATTCAAGAAACCTATGGCCATGAAGAATACTTTAAGGATTTCTATTTGTTTGGGCTATTGAGACACATTTGCATTGTTTTGTAAAGTGCCCATTCTTGTGCAAGTGGACCAGGCTACTTTCAGTCCAGAGGAAACTGAGATGATTGTTTTGGTAGTGAGTCAAAACCAACAGTTATTACTACCTGAAGTCTGGTACGTAGTCTGCGAGTACATCTACGTGTGTGTTTTAATGTGGTAGCCTATTTTAATGAGCATTAAAGTTCCACAGAAAAAACATACCCTTTAGCTAATGCACACTAAAATAGGCTATGTAATTTTTTTATAGTACTTCACAATGGAAGGCTCCTATACGTGAGCATGGAAACTGCTCCAACATGCTGAAATTCCTGTGCATTGGAGCAGATTCAGATTAATTGGGTCTGCTGGAGCATGGACGGGTGCTTGAACTAAAGTTTGTTGAATGCTTGAACTAAAGTTTGCTAATACATGAGACACAGTGGCATTTCAATTAGAGCCACTCTTGGAGCCACTCTGATTAAAGTGCTGCCCCCCACCCCTGGAGCATGTGTAACAGGGCCTAGAGGTACTAGATTTAATGTGCATTACCTAAAGCACATTAATTGAATGTGTAGATGCACAGTTATTTGGCCTCTCTTTCAGCTCAGAAATCAGGGAAGAGCATAAGTATTTCCTTTGTATCCTCATGTGTTGCCTGTCTAAATAAACACATCAGAGATTAAGAGGGCAAGGAAGCTGGACCTCCCTCCTCTGATGGCCTCTCCTTAGTATAACTGAGACTTGTTGGACTAGGATTATGATAATACAGCAGTGATACAACATACAGTATAACTGATGGTAAGTTATATCTGTTTATTTATTACATAAGAGAGTTCAGTGTTCAGAGCTGTTAATCTTACACCTTTCATGAGCACAAATATCTGTGCTAACTAGACTCATTACTTTTTTCTTCTTCCTGCTTTTGATTTACTACTTTTTGTGTCCTTGCTGATAAGCTGTACCTAGAATACCATAGTACATTATATCCGTAAATGTAAGCAAGCAGTTGTCTCTTTGGTACTACAGATGTTTTTTACCAGGGATCAGACAAAAGATGCCATCACTCTTCCCCTAAAAGATTGAATTTGTCCCTTCTGAGACATACCAGTCTCCTCTTACATGATGATTGACATCCTCAAGTCCCATTTCATTTTAGGATCAGTTCCTTTAATCTTACAGAATTATTAGTTTTTTCCTGGGCTAGAGCAAAGAGTGTGGAAAAAGGAAATTGTTCCATTGCTTACAATGTCAGCCCGGATGCATCATAATGTAAAGTAGCGAAATCCTACCTCTTACGATCAGAAACCATCTACTGTGTCTGCCAGCTCTGCACTCTTCTGGAGGCCAAGCAATACATTTGGCTCTAAAAGTATTTCTTCTACAGTTTTAGGCTCACCCTAAATGTGAGGATGAGTCTGGGATAACTTACTGGATATTCTTAGTATGTAGCTTAATAAAGAGGGGAAAAGAGATCATTTTTATAAGTAATTCTCCCACAGTCTGATTTTTCCAACCTTTCCTTATGTAAATTGTTCCAAGTGAGCAATTCCAAAGGCTTTCTTTTTATTTTTTCCTTTTCCTTTTTAATTTTTCTGTGTCACCTCAGTTGTTGTGAAGTGCTGGACAAGTAATGCCAAAGACTGAAATCCTTTAATTATTTACCTAAGTTGTTAGCCTGGGTAGCAGCATAATTAATTACTTCATACTGCTCTACCAATATTCTCAGGTTTGCTTACAAAGACCAGTCAGTATATAGGTATGTTCTCTGCCTAGTTGCGAATTTTCCGAAGTGTTTTAGAGCCTATGAGCTCTACCGAGCCCAGGAAGCATTTTAATTTTGATGATCTTTTTAAGTGTAAAGATTTGGATAAAGAGCTGTAGAAAGTGTCAGTCAGCATTACTTTTGTTGGTGGTGTGACTGAAAAGTACAGAGTTAAAGAAAAATAAAAGAGGTGATATTATGCTTCTTCACCTTAGTGACATCCCTCTTCCTTTTAATATTTTAAAGGCTAAGTATAGACAATCAAAAAGCCCAAGGCTGAATCAGTTCAGTCTTCTCAGGTTAGTCTAAGCTGTGTAGAGTGATTCAATGAGCAAGTGAACAGACACTTTTTATTCCCGAAATACAACCACATGCCTGCAGTGGTCCTGGTCAGAAGTCGGGGTGCTAGAGCATATCTCCCTACTCAGCTGGAGCAGACAACTTGGGCCAAGGCTAGCTGCTTGCCCTGTGAGAGGTGGTTTGTGGGGGGAGGTGCAAAGCATCCTGGGAAGCTGGAGGACTGTGAGTTAATTTGAATGTGGTGGGGATTTGGGACAGGAATTCAATAGACCAATTTAACTAAATCAGTTAAGTCTGATACCATGTCCATCCAGGTTTATCTTAAACTGGTTTCAGCCATTTTGAAAACAGGTTATATGCACTGAACTTCTGTTGTGTTACAGATTTGATCTAGTTTCTGTTAACTTATACTGGTTCATGTGTAATTTCTATCCCTAGCCAAGACGTGGATATAAAAGAACCAAGTCAAATCACAAAATTATGCAGTTAAAGAGGCACTGTAAAAATAAAAGTGATAATTTTTTAGAAACCTTGGTCAGGACAGAAGAACCAAATTCATCCCTGGTGTAACTTCATTCACTACAACGGGGCTGCATTAGAGAGAGATTTGGACCCTAATTTCCTTTTTGCAGGGTGCATCTACACATGATGCTACACTGCCATAGCAATGCACTACAGCAGTATAGCGTCCATGAGCAAAACCCATGACACCACAGCTACGTCACCATAGTGATGTGCTCCCTTCATGATAGCATGTCACAAATAACCATACGTGGCATGCACAGTATCAGCTGTTGCTATGCCGTCTTGTAGTACTTCCAAAAGGAAGTACTAAACAATGGTGCAGTAACAACAGTGCCATAGTGGCACGTGTAGATGTGCCCACACTTTATGAGGTTTGTTTGCTCTTTGTGTTTTATTCAACTTGCTCTGTTCTCTCACTCACTGCTTCATAGTCATGTCCTATGAATTACTGAGATTCCTGTAAATACTCGCTGATGAAATAGATCTGCCTGTATTGTCATGTTGTCCTTACACCACTCTTCCATTGATCTGTTTATTCACTCATTCAGTATTCTAGCATTTAAATTGTGAGATCTATGGAATTGAATTTGTTTTGTTTCTGAAACCTGTGTCTTGAACAAGAGTACCTCAAAACATTTTGGAGTTCCTTTTTCTTATGAAACCGTAATAGTGAATAATGGTGTCACTGCCTATCAGTTTCTAATAATACAGGGACATTTTTAAAGATATCCTATATAGAATAAAGTATATTAATGTTAGTGTATTAAATCTATTTAAATAAAAACAGCAACAATTTGGATTAAAATCATGTATTTTCTCTTTAAGGATTCTTCAGTCACCTAACTGGAATGTAATTACTTTATATTTTTTTTAATTTCATTTTCAATTTGGTCCAAGTTGTAGCTCATCATAGATAGAGTAAGAAATCACTGATGTGCATTCTCTTTTATGGCAGGTTGACAGGACAGAAGTGATTCGAACCTGTATAAACCCAATCTTCTCCAAGCTTTTCACCGTGGACTTCTACTTTGAAGAGGTTCAGCGATTACGGTTTGAAGTCCATGACATTAGCAGCAATCACAATGGGCTGAAAGAAGCAGATTTTCTTGGTGGCATGGAATGCACTCTCGGGCAAGTAGGTATCCCAGTCACCATCCCACCCCTAACCTGTTCCTTTACTATAGATGCTAGATATATAGCTTTGCTGAAAGACCCATTGAGTGAAATATATTATGTATGATAACATTAGACTTCATTATAGTTACTTGAGGAGGGCTCAATGTCAGCACTTCTGCTGTTTTGAACCAATGATGTGATGCTTCTTTCAGTCCCCCTGGGCGTGTCTACACAAGATATTTTACTATGCTTTACTGTCTACATGTGCAGACGCTTACTGCACGCATTAAAGCATTTGTAGTTTGCAAATTTGCTCCCAGTCAGCCAGGCAGCAGGGGACGGGAGATTGCTCTCTGCCCCCAGGGGCTGCCTGCTGCCAGGGCAGGCTCCATCATTGGACCCCAGGTGGGGAAAATGTCCCTCTACCCTGGCAGCAGGGAGCTCTGTCCCCGCTACACAATTGCAGAGCACGGGGCAGGTAGCAATCTTCCAGCCCCCACTCCTCAATTATGGCACTGAGAAGAGGCTGGCACCACTTAAAGTAAAGAAAATGGATATATCAAGAGTGGTCCCAGTGTATTTCAAGGTGTTAAACTGTATCCCCCTAGTCTTGCTTGTGTGCCTGTTGATTTAATAAGCAGCCTGCTATGGTGTCACAAGCATCACAGGCTCTGATATGATTTATGTCATTAAGAAGAAGTAGATCCCAGCTTTGCTCCTGATAATAAGGACAAGAGTTTGAATTATGGAGGAACTTGTGGGGGCTGAGACCCTCCATAAGAGACAAAATCCCCTCTAAGATTTGAAAATCATAACCTGCAGGGGCCTCTGATTGTATTAGAGCGCCGTGATGATCAGCCCATTTTTTTTCTGCAGCCCCCCCCCCAAGAGTCGAAGTGTAATTCAAACCCTGATAAGGACCATCTTAGTCTTGCTAGGATCACATGCTAGTTGAGCTAAATATAAATGAACATTCTGTGGTTAGGAGTAACCTACAATAAGAGTTGGTAATGAGCTTTGGATTACACTTTGCATTCCTTCCACTTAAGCTTGTAACAAGAACATTATTGCTTTTCATTGAAAGAAGCTGCTGTTCCTTTGTTCCTTTTCTTTCCCCACATATGTTCATTCCTGCTGTCCATTATTGTTTTTCAAGAAAGGTAGAAGAATTTGGAGATTACTGTCAGGAAGCTTGAATTATACAGGCTTCCTTTGAATCTCAAGGCATTTAAAAAGGGTAGATCATCAAGAACATCCAAATGAGCACATGCAGTTTTCCTTATAGTACCATCAGTGATGACCTGAAGGGGAATTTCAGGCTTCTTAAAACTCCACCAGCAAGTTTTGGGAAACAGATGGGGTGACTTCTTTGCTTGTAACAATTGCCACTTCTATGGATAGTGCCATAACATCTGTGCTTGCCATGAATAATTCTTGTACTCTTAAAACTATTTTTTAGGGGCATCTACACGGTATTCATTAATTCACATTAGCATAATTTAATGTGCATTATGGGCATGTGTCCATGCATTTATAACCTTAATGTGCATTAAAAATGGCAAAATAAGGCTAATCGCACTTAAATTTGATGCTTGCAAATGCAGGTATCAAATTTAGGCGTGATTAGTTAAAGCTCATTAACTTAAAGCGCATTACTAGTGCTAGTAGGTGCAAACTAGCATTAACTTTAGAGCCAAGTCCTTGCATGTGTAAACATCTGCCAAAAATTGCTTAATGTGCATTAAATTAGCTTAATGTGCATTACATTTGGTCACGCTTAAAGGTGCGTGTAGATGTGCCCTTTGAAGTGTAGATTGGTTTGTTTTGCAGTAGTCAGTGATTTTCAAAATGAAACCAATAGGACAATAACAGCTGGTAATGTTATACACCTTGGAGTCTCTCAGGGTGAAGTTACATGTTACATTGGAGCACACTAAATCTGTAGAATGTTAAATGGCGCTAAAGTGAAAACATCTTGTGAGCAGTCGCATATTAAAGGTTAATACCATTTCTTGCCTATGCAGCCTTGACTTACCACTAGAGGGCTGACAAGCTGGGGCATAGCTAGGGGCCTAGACCCCTGGGCTCTATTCCAGTTCAGAGTTGGGTGGGGAGGGGGAGAGCTGGTAGTGATGCCTGCTGGAATGATAGATGAATGCAAATTGCTCATTTTATGTGAAGCAGACTAAAGTTATCTGAACACAAGCTAGGCTTTAATTTGCAGATGCTTACATTAGCATGGTCTAAGTGTAATGTGTAACTTCACCCTCAGGCTAGGGACAGAGATTACACATAAACTAATATAAGTGATTGGAAACTGGTTCAAGTCCATAACACAACAGAAGTTCACTGTATATATATACCACTTTCAAAATGGCTAAAACTGGTTTAAGATCAACCTGGATGGATGTGGTATCAGAATTAACTGATTTAGGTTAGATCAGTTTACTGAACTTCTATCCCAGATCCTCTCCAGATTCAAGATAACTCATAATCCTTCAGCATCTCCCTATGCTTTGCACCACCCCTGCAAATCCCCTCCTCTCCCCCCCAACTTTCAGGGTTCATGGGGTAACCTTAGCCCTTAGACCAAGCTGACTGCTCCAGCTGAGTAGGGAGGCATACTTTAGCACCCCCTGGCTTTTGGCATTGGCCACTGCAGGCATGTTGCTACGTTTCTGGAATCAAAAGTAAATGTCTGTTCGCTTGTTTATCGGTTCGCTCTGTATAACTTAGACTAAACGAGAGATTGAATAGATTCAGCATCAGGCCTTTTGACTATCTGTACTTAGCCTCAATGGCTATTTTGGCCCGCATTCAAGGGGTGGAAAGTTGATGGAAACCCTCACTGTTTCTCTGCTGCACAGCACAGCTAAGTACCTGGGCCCTTGCATGTTCCCCGATGGCAACAGTTCCCATTGGAAGAATTTTTTTCTCGCCTGTTGGATCTTAACATGAATGGGCTAACAAATAGGATCTTTTAGAATGCACAATAACTTATGTTTGTTCTGCCAGAGCTCCTATGGATAAATTTGTGCCTTCAGTCAATGAGAAGTTGTTCTTTCAAAGGAAAATATACAAAATAAGTTAATAAAATGATTTTCTTAATTGGTTTTAAAATGAGGAAAAAAAATCATTGCTACTGCCTTTAGCAAAAACATGTCTTTATAATAATGCTGCCTCTATAAATAACATACAGCTGGGTTGGTTGCAGTGTAATTTTACTTTTAATGGTAACCAAGAAAAATAATAATAACATGGAATCTGACCACAGAAATGTAGCCTTGAGGTCTCTGATAATATAGTAGGGCTGTTTTTTCAACTTTGCATAATGCATGAACTCATTTAAAAATATAATATCAACAGCAGAATTGGCATCCAAATGGAGGCAATTATAATGAGGCCAGGATCGTAAATCTTACAAAACAGACTGTATATACAGCACTTACTCCCCTGCTTAGCTGTTTTGTGTAACTGCAGCATTTTATAGGCTGATAATAGGGCTGCTGCTGTTCATGAGCAATCAGATGTGAATATGTTGCTATATTGCAATTGAATGGAAGCATAAAACATGATTTTTGTGTGCCTGTCTATCAGTTCTGTTCTTTTGCCATCACAGATAGGAGATATTATGTTAGAGATCAGACAGGCTTTTGGTTCTTAGATACATTCATGTTGTACCAACTTCCATTCTTGTGTTCCAGATAGTGTTGATCAACAACAACGTAACTATTACCTGAATCCGTGTGTAAAGCATTCTTCAGGTGTATAATAGACTATTAATCCATCTAATACTCCCACCAAATGCAAGATTTATAAGAATCGTGTTGGGCAAAGAGAAGGGTAGGAGCCAAGGGGAGAAAGCAAAGGCATGCTTTAATAATAAACTTACAAGAGGACTGGTAGTTCTTTCTTTCAAAGTTTCTGTAGTGTTGTTGTTACCATGATAATCCCAGAGTACATCAGAAGCAAAAATTTTGGGCCAGTATTTTTTCCTGGACCTACTGTACAATTGGAAGAGATGCTAGACAAGTTTTTGGGCACAAAATGTCCTTCCTCCATTCCAGGGAAGGAAAAGATACAGCCTGAGCTAAATACTATGTAGAACAATAACTTCTATAGCTACTCCTGATAACTTATTTTTGCTCCACAGTTTTAAAGAAAACAATTGTTTTACCTAAATAGCTTAGGCTGTATCTGCTTTTTTTCCTAGAGCCAAAGAACGGCATTTTGTGCCCCTAAGCTTGTCTGATTTCTCTCCCAACTATTTCATTTAAACTAGGTTCACCTGGGTGGGGAGATCAAAGCCTCAAACCCTTGATGTAAGTGGGGAAGTTGGTGGCCAGGAGGAAGAGCAGGTGGGAGAAGGAGGGGTTACAGGGGAGTTGTTCTCATTCTTCCTGAGAAATCAGGGCAATTGACTGGTTATCTCTGGTGCCTGAACACAAATGCATGGAGCCTGGGAAACAAACAGGAAGAACTGGAAGCCCTTGCACAGTCATTGAACTATGATGTGATTTTAATAACAAAGACTTGGTGGGATAGCTCACATGACTGGAGGACTGTTATGGATGGGTATAAACTGTTCAGGAAGGACTTGCAGGGGAGAAGAGGAGGAGGAGTTGCACTTTATGTAAAAGAGCCATATGATTGCTCAGCACTCCAATATGAAATTGGATCTAGGCCTGTTGAAAGTCTCTGCATTAGGGTCAGAGGACAGAGCGACAAGGGTGATGCCATGGTGGGAGCTGCTATAGACCACCAGACCAGGCGGAAGTGGTAGATGAGGCTTTCTTCAAACAGCTAGCAGAAGTTTCCTGATCACAGGCCCTGGTTCTCATAGGGGACTTGAGTCACCCTGCCATCTGCTGGGAGGGCAATACAGCAGTGTGCAGGCAATCCAGGAAGTTTTTGTAGAGTGTTGGGAACGACTTCCTGGTGCAAGTGCTGGAGCAGCCAACTAGGGGCTATGCTCTTCTTCACCTGCTGCTCGCAAACAGGGAAGAATTGGTGGGGAAT